TAAAAATTCAAGTTAGGAGAGAATTTTTCTGTTCCTCTTTCATCTTCTTTTTTCAGGAGTCGTCAGATTTTTTAGACTTAACCTCAGCTTCGAATATTCATAGGGCAAAATTGGAACCAGATAACACCTAGGGTAAAACAGGCCTATTTTTAAAATTAATTTATTTTTATTTATTTTTATCAAAGTATAGTTGATTTATAGAAAGAAGTCTATTTTTTAGTAAAATTTAACTCTGACCAGATGACTAGTCTGGTTTGTCAAGCAGGCAGAATGAATCTCTGGGGGAGAAAAGTGGTTCCACCCAGGCTCCTACACGGCTCTCCTCTCCTGTCTCAGCAAGATGGAAGCTTTACATTAAATGTGTTTCTTAAGCTTTGTTGCCAGGTTAAACTTGATCCTGAGAGATGTCCTTAGTAACTAACACTCACCAATCTGTTAGCCCCCAGTGCTTCAGAGTTCAGCAGGGTTTGCCTTAGCAGTAGCATTTTTGGCCAGCAGGGGTCTCACTGCCTAAGCATTGGGACCTAACTTTTGACATCCCCCAACTCTGGAGGTTTCAAAACCTTATGGCAGGGGAACAATTAGCATCTTTTGCAAGTTATTTTGAGGCTTCTGGAAACATTAACAAGAGTTCACAATTATCGGGCTTTCTCTGCATCCCAGGCATCCATCTAAGCGTGTTCTTTGTAATAACTCATGCAATCCTCACAAGATCCTGAGGAGGGGGAGCCTCCATTTTATATTTCAAAACACCGAGGCACAGAAAGGTCTGGTAAATTGCCTGAGGTCTATGATCAGATCGAGCAGAGCCAGGATTTTAACCTATGCAGCTTTGTACCCTGAGCCACGTTTGCAACCACTACCTTTTACTGCCTGATATGACAGCCATGGTCCTCTCTTCCCAAACTCCACAGTGATGTACAGCAAGGAAAGATGAAGGTCTGGTCAATTATTCTCGTTAACTTTCAAAATCAAATTAATTAATGGTAACTTTTCTTTTACCTGCAATCAAGTGTGGATGGCTTGGGCAAGATTTGCTTACCAACCCAGCTTTGTGTGTGTGTGTGTGTGGTGTATGTGTGTGTAGGGTGTGTGTGTGTGGTGTGTATGCGTGTGTGTGTGTGTGTGTAGGTGTGTGTGTGTGTGTGTGTAGGTGTGTGTGGGTTGAATCTGCAAAGCCCAGAGGAGAGAGAACAAAGGCAGAGGTTTATGGGCATGTTTTTCAGACTCATTATATTTCTGCTCAGGAAGATTTCCCTTTTTGAGAGTCTGAAAGTGAATTACTTTAGTTATACAATAGAATTTTAATCAATAGAATTTGACAGAGATGCTGTAGAGCTGCTGATTTGCCTGCTACGTAATGTTCACCAGGCATTTGAGATCCCACTTAAATGCTCAGAGGAAAGACCCAGCAGAGATAAACCTGAACCAGCACAGTCAGTACTGGTTTTGGCCATTGCTTCAAGCAGCAGACACTCGTTGGTTTATCAGTGGTCCAGGCTCAAGTTCATTGAGGTTCTTGGTCTCAATGGGGAGCCCCTCAGCTTTGTCTTCTGCCCATACTCTGTGTTTGGATCTGGTTTAGGGTTTCCTTCAGTGTTGGGGGAGGGCACTAGTGGATGCTTTCACATTTCCACATTGCAACCCTCTACCCCCAATTATGCTACAAGGTATTTCTTTGAAATAGAACTTCGATGTAATATTTTTAAAATGAGATAGTACATTTGAACAAATCACATTTAAATCAAGGTGCTGGCAAGAGAAGCAGAGAGGGATAGGATCAATTACCTTGATAACCCAATATGAGAACCTCTTAATCTGAGGGTTTCCTGGTTAACAGAGTGCCTCCCAAGCTGTCCCCAGCATCCACTCTCTAGTGACTGAATCTTGAGTTCTGGCATTCAGAAAAAGTGTATGACAAGTGATTAGGGGTGCTGTGTTTTAGAATCTCTTGGAAACCCAAGCATTAGATATACTCTTCGACATCCTTTGACAAGAAGACTAACAGTACAAATAATGAAGAAGAAAAACAGTTATTGGAAATAGCCTTTTTGTAGTATGCTATCAATAATATTACAATAGAAAAGAACAAATCTGACTCCATATTAGATCTGTTCCTTTGACTTCAATCCTGTTCCCTGTTTTCTGGACTTAGTCTTGTTAGCTCTGCACATACCTAAAGATAACAAGTTGCAGAATAGAGAATAACATTTGTTTTGTTGGAGATTTTGCAGCAGCACCATGAACAGGCCCACATCAACAGTGCAAGAACAAAGAATTCCTACACCAAGAAGTTTGCAACAACCAAGCACGCCCCCTCCCGAGAGTCTTTTTGTATAAAAGGAGCCTGTATTCTGACTGGGGGAGGATGGTTCTCCAACACATTAGTCTGCCATCTTCTTGGTCTGCTGCCTTTCCGAATAAAGTCGCTATTCCTTGCCCCAACATCTCGTCTCCCAATTTATCGGCCTGTTATGCAGCGAGCAGAATGAGTTTGGACTCAGTAGCAATATCTGGCATGATATGGGAACCAATGAACATAAAAAATGTCATTTTTCTTTTTTAACAAAAAGCCAGAGACTGACTTTTTAGTTGACCTATCAAGGTTAAATCTGGAATTAATCTATTTCATCAGGATAATACAAAGCCCATGAAAGAAGAGATGGAAGAGATGGAGTGCCTTCATTTTATTTCATATCCTGTTTTTTCATCTGCAGAACAGGTATAATGATACCCCTGGGGTCAGTATTGTGTCCTGATCATACAATATTTCCTCATTACAAAATATACAGGACTTCTTTCATCCTCATCCTACTTGACTTGTGGGCAGCCAGTGACACAATTACACACACTTGAGTTTGCAGCTTCTCCTTTTTAGTGTCTGAGAAACTCTTTCTTGGTTTTCTCTTATTCCTCTTCTCACTCTTCCCAGTATCCTTTGTGGGAGCCATTTCTCCTTTTCACCCTTTTCCTTTTGGGATTTCCTTCAGGGTCCTTTTCTTTGTTTTGTCATTTACTTGCCAGTGGGTCTCACACTTCGGTGAACATGAGTCATCATCTGGAGAACTAGTTACGGCGTGGATTCCCCAGCTCACTCCAGAGATTCTGAACAAGTTGGTGTGGGATGGTGTCTGCAGTGTGCATGTTTGGGGTCGTGGGACTTCTGGGTTCATCATTCAAATTCACCTCTATTTCAGTTGAAATAATGATTTTTTCTCACCATATTTTAGACAAACCTATGGGTACCTGAAACCCAGCATTTCTGAGAGAGAACTTGCAGCAGACTGCACCACCAGCCCCAATTCCTACACCCCCCTTTCCAGTCCTCTGGCATGTGACCTCACTCTCCTTCCCACCAAAGGGTGGAGATTGTATCCTTGCCTGTGACATAGGTTCAGCCAAATGACTTGCTTTGGTGAATAGAAGCCAGGGAAGGGAGAGCAGGCTAGTTCCAAGCTTGAATTTAAGAGGTCTTCCATGCTTCTGCTTTCCTCCTGAATTTTTAGGTAATATGAAGAGAACACTCCCAGACTAGCCCACTGGTCCTGGGAGGGTCCTAGAGAGGCTGAGAGACAAGAGGGGCACAGTCAGCCCAGTCCCTCTGCAATCATGAGTGAGAAACATGTGCTATTTGTTGGATGCCACTGAGGTTTTAGGTAGTTGGTTACTTAATACTGTATCAAAAGCCCTTCCTGATCTGTCCCCTGGCCATCTTCCTGATGTTAGTTTCACAGTGTTCCCTGGCACACAGCCTCCCAGCATTT